TAGTATAGATAGTATATACTAAATCTACGTTGATAATTCTTTTCTTATTATATACCTCCTTGGTCCGTCAAGTAGCAACAAGACGAGTTATAACGTGTGCACTCATTAAAAAGAATTCTAAATGAAAGAATTATCAATACGTTCAAGAAATTATTCGAGAATTATTATTTAGCTAGTTTTACTTTGTTAATTACCCATGGTTCCCACAACCCTAGTTGTGCATTTAGTTACCATGTTAATAATTATACAATTCATATTAATTAGACAAGAATTCATGTAATTACTTTGATGAGTTTGAAGAAAATCCAGAAAATCACTTGAATTTGAGAAAGTAATGCAATAAATAATTCCGGAAAATAAGTATTTTCCAAAACCCAATATCCAATTACCAATATTAAAAATTAGAAAATAACCAAGATTCTAACCCCAAAAATGAGGTTTTTGGTCTTATTTATAATAAAAGAATACTAAACATAAAGGGAAACCTAAATAAGGAAAATCTGTCAAAAAATGCGTCTCGCGTCGATGACCTGACCGACGGACCGTCGACACCTCCGTCGGTCTATACTTCAACTCTATTTTTATCTACTTTCTTCTCCAACTCTCTGTTACCATCGACGGACCAAGACGATAGTCCATTGAAAGGATGACGGTCCATCGATGGCCTTCGTTGCTCCACACTTAGAATCTTTTCAAATCGGGTACTGGGATACATTCTGTTAACACCAATAGATCACCAGGAGAGTGTGTCGATGAGATGACGGACCGTCATCCCTTTCATAGCTTCACACTTAGTCGAAATTCCCTGATATTTCCTTGGCAGAACAACATATTCATGGAGATGGTTGCCACATTCGGACTGCCGATGACTCCGTAGGTCATCTTCTGCAATTTTTAGCACATCTTCAGCGTTTTCATTTTGGATAGTTTTTCCTGCAAATACAAAGAAAAAGACATTAAAACTACTTCAAAGAGGCCTTAGACACACACTAAACTTAAGGAAAAAACATTGAAAGTACCGTGAAACCACCGTACATCAAATATCAACAATGATAAAGATCATCATATGCATACCATGTACCATTATAAGCATATTCATACATAAGAACATCCTCCTAAGACTTCCTTCAAGGCTAACTAGTGCAATGTTTAGGTAGAGTCTCATGCCCCTATCTAGACTAAGCTAAACCCCTTAGGTTATCCTAGTTAGAGTTTATTTCTTTAATTCATTTTACCTTTTGGGAATTTGTTTCCTTAACAAACATAGACCACATGAGCTAACATGGAATCCAGTGTCATGGAACCTTATACTGAAGGAAGGCGGACTACTTGCCAAGGTAGTACCAAAACATGAACATAGAAATTACGTAGATCCACTAGCTAGTATTCCTATAAGGGGAACATAGTTCGACAACTAGGAGATATAGTTGAGACCCTCTTTATGCTACATGCATTGTAGTCTCCAATATCAATAGTACATTAGTGATCCTACCTTCCCTATATGGTAAGGGACACTCCTCACTCTAGTTCACTCGGTGCTAAGCTAGAGTCACTTTTGTAATGTCTTTAGTCCCTTTATTAATTATCATAGCTTAATGTAGGTAATAGGGTCTATCCCTTGTATAACCATCATCATCATTTTAGCTCAATAATAATTGCATAAGTATAGTCCTTTTATTACAATTCATAAAAGTGAGGTTGAAACATTTACATATCACTCATAATAAGAGACATTGGTAAATCATTCACCATCCTTATAACATGTACATCTTATCCAACCCCTCACAAACCATAGTCAATACATTTCAATTAAACATCATACAAACCCTATAAATCCTAATACAAAGCATACTCCAATACAACATCATGATTTAATCACAATTTAACCATAATTGAAGTAAAGAGTAGGGATCACAAGACTTACCAAGTCTCTTCCTTAATTCATAATTAAGGTCTTACCATGAACTCTTAATTCAACCCAACTAGGGTGAAATATCATCATATAGCCATAATAAACATGATAACAAGGCTAATTTAATCACTACATCATAATCCAATACTAGTTCATAGCTTAAGATAAGATACTTAGGTCAATTCACAACATACTTCATAACCTAGATCAACTTCTCAAGAACTAGCACGATAGGACTATAATTCATCCTAATTTAGTCATGATTGATACAAAAACATCATAGGTTAGTAATTCAACCAATACCCAATTTAATTGAACCAAAATTACTCAATTTACATCAAGATCACAACCTAGGGTTAAGGGGAATATGCCACTTCTATAAACTAGACCAATTCATTAAGATATAACATAATTAGTTAAAATAAATGTTATTATATTCATAATATTTAAACAAATCATGAAAAAATCAATTCATAACATCAATTTCGAGATTGGAAAAGACCCACTTGAAAACCCAACTTTTGAAATCAATTTGATAGAACCCTTTGAGGAAAGAGGTCTCAAAGGTGAAAGATATCCCATACCTTATTAATTGATGAAGATTGATGGAAGAAATTGACCATTTTAATACCTTGAACCCACCTCTATCTTGGTATTCAAGCGGATTTCTTTGGGGAAAGAGAAAGAAGAGAGAAGGAAGCGAGAGTTTTGGGTTTGGGAATTATGAGAGTTTAGGTTAGGCTAATTAGTTTAGGAATTTATGTAGGGGGTTGACTATCTTAATAAGACATAATTTAAACCCTAATTAAAATCCTAACTAATAATACTAATTAATTAACTTAAGTGAAAATATATAATGAAAACCAGTCATCACAGATGACACCACAATCAACGGATCGTGGGTCAATCGACGATCACTGCCCCTTCTGTGCTGCACATCCGTTGGTGAGTTCAGAGAATATTCAAAATGACTCTTCCAATATTATGGATAAGTTTCCATGTACGGTGTCCATCTACACTCCTTCGATTAACACACGCCCCGTCGATGGTACTCGTTTGTGCACACTGCCTTGGGTAGTCCTTTGACACCAAAAATGCAAGGGTCCTCCTCAAGGGCCCTTAGTTAGTCCTTGGGGAGTTGTGACCGAACGTTTAGACTATGTATTAACTCTAATACATTTTATGCACTCTTCCATCATTTTTATCATTTTTCGAGTCCTAAAAGCTAATCAAATAGGCTAAGGCACGCTAGTACCTCATTGAACTAGTTTCTGACGTCATGAACGTTCTTGGACGTTTTGACTTCTAAACCTCATAAATGACTTATATTCATTAAAATTGAACTTAAAATAGTATCTAAGCCTTTTGACACTCATGTTAGGCTCTAGGACACGGCTTAGATTTTTGAAGTGTTACATAGGTTCATGACATGTTACTTGTAATGTTCATTATGAGGATATATGCAAACTTGATGCTTATTTGAAAGTATGTATGGAAAGTGATGAACTTTATTTGATTAAAATGGCTTAGAGAATGAAATAAAAGTTCAAGAAATATTGGGGTACTCCTGAAAAGATTAAGAAGTTGTTTTTTATTGCTTTTGTTTTGGATCATTGCAATAAATTTTTGTATGTTAGTTTTTCTCTTGAAGAATTATCTGGGGAATAAAAGGGAAATATAGTGAATAAGAAAGTGGAGGATTAATTGATGGATTTGTTTGCTATATATGTAAGTAAGTATGGAAAAGGTTCTTAAAATCAACCATCTTCACCGATTCTTCTACTTGTGGTATTTCTCAAAATGTGTCCAAAATTCTTTGAGAACTAAGTTGTACATACTGAAACAAAAGCAAGATTCTGGAAGTTTAGGTGTTAAATCTGAGTTGGATATATATCTTCTTGAAGACCTAGACCTTGAATCTGGTGATTTTGATATTTTGATTTGGTGGAAAGTTAATTCTCCTAGATTTTCATTCTTTCACATTTGGCTCGATATTTATTGGTTATTCCTATGCCAATTGTGTCACTGTAATGTGCATTCAGTATCGGTGGTCGTATTCTTGATCCCTTTAGAAGTTCATTGACTCCCTAATGTGTGTAATGCCTTATTTGTGTCCAAGATTGGCTTAGACAAGAAACTAAGCCTATTTGTGTTAAAGAAAGTTTGGAGTTCCTTAAAATAATTGAACTTGGTAAGACTTTTATTTTTTATTTTTTTACGAAGAAACAAAATACTTATTGTGTTGTATCTTGTATGACATTTTTTTTTCTTATTTATAGAGATATCAAATAGTAAAAGAAACTCTTCCATTTTTGATCTATGATTTACTTGCAAGCGGTGAGTTCAATATGTCATTTATATAATCATAACATTTTTTAATCTTAAAAGTAGTATTGTAACATTTAATTTTATCTTAAAAAGTCCAAGAGTCAAGACAATGAAGAAAGACGTACAATACTAATATTTTACCCCAAATTACTCATTTCTCTCTCTTTCCTTTTTCACTATTTTCCTTGTTCAAGAAAATCAACTCTACTAATTTCGTACACTTTTTTCATTAAATCTCACAATTAATTCAATAGATTTCACCATTAATAAAGGTAAAATTGAAGTCAACAAATATTTTGTGAGAATTCTTGTGATTTTGTTTTCATACTCACTAAGTATTTTGTATTTTTAATTTTCCGTTTTTTAAACATTATTGTTCATTTTTTGTGAGTTTGTTTTCATATTCCCATCTTTTATGTATATTGAATTTTTCGTCTTTTAAACACCATTGTTTGATTTTTTTATATTTGGATCTAGTAGAAAGTTGTAATTTACATTAACATACATATATCATATATAATTTGTTTTTTTTGTACAGTCATATTTGATAATTTCAAATTTAGCCCATAGAGTTACTATTAGAATTATGATAAAAATATTCTAATTCATTGTATATATGACCTTTTTTAAGTGTATATTTAGTTCCTACTTATAGTTAGTTAGTTTCCATAATTATAGTCTTGTATTGATTATATATAAACCATTGATATCAACGAAATAAGGCAAGATATAAAGTCTTTCATGGTATCATATTTCTAAGGAAGAACATTCCCACTTTCTCTTCAACACCATTGTCCTCCCCTCTCTTCTTCTTCGTCTCTTTTCTATCATCATCATGTCAGATTCAAAATATTTCTTTCACCATTTTTTTTGTTATATCCAACATCAAGAGAGATCAAGAACCATGTACCCATCGCTCTTGAGATGGAGAACATCTAATATTCCACATGGAGGAACTATTTAAGATTCACGCGATCCCATTGATTTCTTGACCATATTATTCCTTTGGCAAAGTGCAAGAAGAATCTGCCAAAAACAAATGAGGATAAAGAGCTTTGGTTTACTATTGATGCTACCATTCTACATTGTATATACGTCATTATATCTCATTATATTCTCCATACGATTCTTGATCCAAGCACCATGGTAATGGAGATTTCAAATAGATTGTGTGACATATTCAAAGATAATAAACACTCTCGTGCCGTCACCCTTGAGTACAATTTCATTCATGTGAACATGAAATATTTTCCAAGTGTCTCCGCATATTGTCAGCACCTCAAATCTTTTACGGACAAACTCAAGAATGTCAGCTTTCCCCTTGATAACAATAGACTAGTTCTTCAACTAGTTTCTTGCCTCATCGAACCCTATAAAGGTGTGGACACTCTCATTTGCCAACGTGATACTTTACCCCAATTTTATCATATGCCCGTTCGATGCTCACTCATGAAGAGGTCGTCCTTGCTAAGAAGGCGACACATAGATCATCATAGCCATGGTGGCTTGTGATTCGAATGATTTGCATGATATTGTTGATCATTCCTCTTCACACCGCAATACTAATGGTGGGAAGATAAATAATACCGCAACAATAATCGCAACAACAATGGTGGTCGTGGAGGCAGAAAAGGTGGTAGTAGCGGTGGGGGTAAGGCTGGAGGTGGTGGTTAGATGGGAGGCTGAAACAACCGCGGTGGAAGACAACAGCCAGAAGTTCAGCAGACGTCGACTGACTCTCTGTATTCTGGAGGTCAATTGTGTGCTTGGATGGCACCTTGGTCTCCCTAGGCTACACCTCCTTTTCCATATCCATCAAATTCGGCCAGGCCCAATTATGGACAATAATCAAAATAACAGTCTGTTATACTAGGGCCCAGAGTGCAGCAAGCCTACACGATAGCGCAAACTCAAACCGACATTGAAGCCACAATGCACACTCCCGCATCACTCCTCCGAATACAAATTGGTACATGGACACCGGTGCTATTTCTCACATGACATCCGCACAAGGTAACCTTACGTCTTGTTTTAATATGAGCAATAAACGTGCTATAAAAGTTGGTAATGGTCAATCATTTCCAATTCATGGTTATGGTCACACTAAATTATCTTCTTTGTGTCCTCCCTCACAATTAAACAATGTAGTTCATGACCCTCACCTTGTTAAAAATTTGGTGTCAATTAGAAAATTTACAACTGATAAACCTGTGTCTGTTGAATTTGATATGTGTGGGTTTTTTTGAAGAATTTTCAGAAGGGGAGACCGGTAATGAGGTGTGAAAGTCGGGGCGAGATGTATTCCATCACTACTCCAGTCACTTCTCTATCTACTTTTGCCGCTTTGGCACCACCCATTTGGCATGATCATTTGGGTCACTCGGGAGCACCTGTTTTAACTCTCTTAGGAAGAATAAATTGATTGAATGTAATCAAATTAAAGACTTTCGTATTTGTCATTCTTGTCCTTTGGGAAAACATGTTAATTTGCCATTTTATCCTTCAAATTATCGTGCTATTATGCCATTTGATATTATCCATAGTGATCTTTGGACATCACTTGTTTTGAGTTCATCGGGTTATCAATATTATGTCTAGTTTGTGGATGATTATTCAAAACTTTTGTGGAATTTTACACACAAATCACAAACGTTTTCCACTTTTTTGAGTTTCAATATCTTTATTTGAAGCCAATTTGGGAGAGGCATAAAAAATATACAATGCGATAATGACTCGGAAATTGATAGTATCCCCTTTTAGGATTTTTGTAAAGCAAATGGTCTTTTGTTTCGTCTTTCATGTACTCATACATCCCCTCAAAATGGGAAAGCTGAAACACAAATCCATACGATCAATAACATTGTACGTACATTATTGGCCTAGACTTCCCTTGTTCTTTCATTTTGGCATCATGCTTTTCAAATGGCAACTTACCTTCTCAATATCCTTCCTCATAAGCTTTTAAATTATCAATCTGCTCTTCGCATTCTTTATCAATGAAATCCATCTTATTCTCATTTTTGGGTGTTTGGGTGTTTATGTTATCCTCTTATTCCCTCTACAATAATAACAGACTTTATACCTGGTCGACTCCTTGTGTTTTTTTGGGTATCCTTCAAATCATCGTGGGTATAAATTCTTTGAGTTATGATCTAGAAAAATCATCATTATCCGTCACATAATATTTGATGAGACACACTTTTCCTCTGCAAAGTCTAGTACTCCTCAAAGTCACACTTATGGGTTTCTAGAGGATGAGCCATCTCCCTACGTGGTCCATCATTTCACTACCTCTCCTAACCTACAAGTTTCACCTATTCCTTACACAACCACCTCACCAGCCTAGAAAGTGGTTCTAACGTGCCTAGCGGGCAGCACGACCTTCCCCAATCGAATGTACCAAGCCCATCTACTCCTTTCACTCTCCTATCCAACTCTTTCCTTGCCCTACTCCAATATCTCCCTCACGTCTACCAATGAGTCCGGTTACTCAGAGTTAACATGGTATTTCGAAACCTAATTAAGAAGTATTTAAACCTTCTTACATCAATTTCTAAATCTACCCTACCTCGTAACCCTGTGTTTGCTCTTCGTGACTTGAATTAGAAAGTGGCTATGGATGATGAATAATTCTCTAATTGAAAATAAGACTTGGGAGTTGGTGCCCCGTCCTCCAAATGTTAATGTAATTCTGTCTATGTGGATTTTTGCTCATAAAGAAAGTTTGATGGTTCATTTGAGAGGCATAAAGCCCGTCTTGAAGGTTATGGAAAAACTCAATAGGTTGGCGTGGATTGTGGTGAGACGTTTAGTCTAGTCCTCATACCGGCGACTATTCGAAAGGTCTCAGTTTGTCTTTCTCTAAGGCCTACCAGATTCATCAACTCGACGTCAAAAATTTCTTCCAACATGGGGAACTCAAGGAGACTGTTTACAAGTATCAACCTTTGGGGGTACCGAGATCTTGATCGCCCTAATCATGTGTGTTTGCTGAAGAAATCTCTCTATGGGCTCAAACATGCTCCAAGGGCTTGGTATAAGAGGTTTGCTGACTATGTCCATACTCTTGGTTTTTCTTAGTACTTCAGATCATTGGTTGTTCATTTATCATCAAGGTACTTCTATGGATTACTTTTTATTCTATGTCATGATATCATTTTGACTGCTTCCTCAGATAAGCTCCGTCAGTTTATCATCTCTCTTCTTAGCACGGAATTTGCTATGAAGGACATTGGCCATTCGAGTTATTTTCTAGACGTTGCAGTCACTCTTCATGTAGGTGGTCTATTTTTATCACAAAATAAATATGCTACAAAGATCATTGAACAAGCAGGCATGTCATCGTATAAGGCATCTCCTACTCCGGTTGATACAAAACCGAAGCTCGATACTACTATGAGAAAACCGTTTAAGGATCCATCTTTTCATAGGAGTCTTCCCGGAGAATTTCAGTACCTTACATTCACAAGACCCGATGTTACATATGTAGTACAAGTATGTTTATTCATGCATTACATAAGGAGGAACACATGCACACACTTAAGTACATTTTGCGCTTCATACACGGTACTATGTATTTCAATCTTCACATGTTTGCTTCATCCACATCCACTTTTTATTTGTATACTGATGTATATTGGGGCGGATGACCGGATACACGATGTTCAACGTCGGGTTATGTTGTGTCCAAAATTGCATGCTAGTGCACGTGAACACTCAAGTAGTAAATAGACTTTTTTGAATCTAATGTTCATACCCAAGGGACTTTAAATCAGAGAATATCAATTTACAATGACTATATAAGTTCACTCAAGCGTTAAATAGATTGAGAAATTTGATTAACTATTGTTCCAAGCTTAACAAGAATTAGCTACTAAAACTGAACGATATTAATAAAAGAAACTTCAAACGTTGGAGAGATATCCCAAGTTGTAGCATAACTCGAATTCCGGTTCAATGTGTTTCTGTTCAAAGGTTCACGAAGTTGATTTATTGCGGGTTGGCAATGTTCAATTTACGATCATAATATTTTGAGTTCGAATCGTACCACTATTGACAACCTAACTGCATCATCAAGAGGGGTTATGTATGAATCAACAACAATGCACTGAGTACTCATCTTGCATTTTAACCAAATGTGGTGCATAGGTATAAAGTGATTATATACACAAAAGAATCTAGAGCTTCCTCTAGAATGACACACCTCTTGAATTCTTTTATCTATCCATCCATTCATCTTTTGAGTTCAAGAGTGGACACTAAATATTTTCTAATATTGATCAAGCATTAAAATAAAGAAATGAGAATGCAAGCACAAAATAGACATAACCCTTTTCATACAAGGAAAAAGTTCACATTAAACCATCATTCATAGCCACAACCCTAGGACACGGGAGTTTAGCTACCTATAATAGAAAATAACAAGATAAAATTAATTAGAATCGTACAAGCCTTTACCAGGATGAGGAGGAGAAGAAAAACCCTGGAATTTAGCACCAAAATTTCCCTAAACTTCAGCTCTCATTTTTTATGCAAGTGTAGTGTGCAATAAAATACACTTAAGCTATTTATAGTCCAAAATAAATACGTGGGACGATTATCTTGTCCAAGTCTACGACGCGGACGTGTTCCCTCACTAAATTCTGCTTATAAGGGGAACACCCTCCACGACGCGTCTCTATTGCGGACTCCTTGTTATGGGGAGTTCCTTTTCTGCATAGGAGGACTGCCTCTGCGATGCGCCCACAATGCGAACTTCCCTGTTATGGGAAGTTCCTTCACTACTTAGGGGGAGTGCCTCCTCGACGCGGAAGTGCTTCTTGCTAATGCAATCTTTTTCATGATTCTTCTTTTTCACCACTTCTTCTTGTGCTTTCCAACCTTTGATCCAGTGCCCAAATTCAACTCCTTCTTCAATGATCTTTGGCTTGAAACATCTAATCATGTTGGTTAGAAAATGTGTAATCAAAAGTACTCTAATCACTTGACTTAACCACCATAAATGTCCTCACTCGGCTATATGTATGGGATAAAAATGGTTGTCAGGCATATATATACACCTAAGATCACCACCCCACACTTATAACTTTGTTCGTCCTCAAACACTTAAGAACTTATAGATATACTACAACTCTATTACTACACCTATAAGCATTTCACCTTCGGTCAGAACAACTACAGCAACTGAATAACAACATAACATTACTTTGCGTTCCTAAGGATCGCTCTTGCAAAACAATTTAACCTTAAGAAAAATATCTTTTATATAGAAAAGTTGTGTGCAGCCAATGGCTCCTAGATATATAATCCTTCAGATCTGATCAAACACGTGCCCATACTACATTCGAACACCCAAATTCACTTCAAATTGCTATTTTCACACGAAACGGGTGTCGAAAACAATTTATGCTCACACTCACAAAAGAACTTTCTTGCTACAACTAAAGTACCATAAGCTTTACCTTAGTGTACTGCTTCACTACTTTTGACGATTTTGCATTTCGAGATCAATTAGGCCTTTGAAGGGTTGTAATGCGGCTAGGGGACAATTAGGACACATTTAGGTAATAAGAGTCCCAAGTGTTTTAGTGCTAACACTATAATTTTAACTGGTCATCTTATAACCCTATCTTATGCTCTTTTCTTTGGAACCATTTTGGTACCTTTTACAAGTTCACCTCTTTTTACCAGTTTTTTATTTATTATTTTTCTTCTTAGACATAAATACATGTCTAAAGGTTTTCATAAGGTTCCCTTTTTTTACACAAGAACACTTCTATAGGGGTACCCACTTAACTTTCTTTCTTTCTCTAGTGTTTACACAAAAACGCTTAGGATCTTTTTGATCAAAGTTCTAGGAAAAGGAAAGAACAATACAAGATTCATTTTAGGTTACAAAAGAAATAGTTCAAGGCTCAAGGGGGCTAACTAGGGGTATATGCTAAAGTGGGTAGAAGAAAGCATGAAGAGGACTGCTAAATAAGTGCCTATATATCTTCACAAATTCCTAATCCTCTTATTTTTCGTTATCAAACATACCGGGTAATTTCTAGACCTTAATTAATAGTAGGGAATGCATGATTTTTACACACTTGGCACACATTTAACTTGACACTGATAACTTGACTACTGCTTCGTGATTACTGACACACTTTAGTTCAACCACAACCACAACAAAAGAGTCATATAAATGAGCCTAGACGTCTCAGCACAGAGTTACCCATGTTTGTGGTTGTTAGTCTATTCCACCATAATTGTGTCACTTCAGCCAAAAAATAATAACCCTAAAGAATCAATTGATGAATCCATCCTTTAAAACGGTTGCCATCCATCTATCATAGGGCGGATTGACTCAACTATGACATCGACTCAATTCTAAGAAACAAAATCCTTTTTTTATAATACGATTCAACGGGACTGTCCTTGTCTAAAGAACCAAAAACAACTACCAAAGAACCCAAATAAAAACATCACACATTACACAAAAAACAACTAAATCATCAAAAATAAAAGCTATGTACAAAGATATAACCCCCACCCGCACTTAGAATTACGCACTGTCCCTAGTGAAATGAGTCTTAACAAGAAAAAAAGAAATAAGGTAAGGTGGGCTTCCCAGATTAAGAATCCATGCATATCAGCGTCATCTTTGGTTTCCTCGAGGGCTATCAACTCTCTCTCATCAACAGCAGAATTAGATTCACTATCCGACATGCTTCGTATTTTATCCTCGTCTGTTGGGACATCATCCCAGACTGTCTCAAAGTATGCAGGACCAAGTCCTAGCATAGTCATCACATGCTCATTCAGAGGGTACTTTGACGCGACCTTATCCAACTGTTCGTGCAATGAAACTCTACATTCATTTTGATGCCGCAGTATTTTCAGACCGTACATATGGGCATTGATAATCTCGTCCCTCTTATTGTGTTCTGCTGCCGTGAGTGTGGGTCCATGAACCACCTTCATCCCCTTTGTCTTGGAGACATTGAGAGGTGTGGTAAAGAGGGGTTCCATGTAATTCATGGTCTCCTCTGGGACGCCAGTCTGCCTGCATAATCGAGTGATTAGCCCACCAAACGCATACCTTCTTCCTCAGCGAATTCTTGCCTTGCGCATTGTTGATTCAACATTGCTCTTATGTTGATAGGCACCCCTTTCATAAGCGCATACACCAAGAAGACTTGGTCCCATGTCACCTCCGTATAGTGCAGCCCTGGTATTAAATAATTCATAACAATCTTCAACCATACCCTAGCCTCTCTATTCGTGTGGTCAAAGGGGTAGGCTGATGATACCTACGAGGCCTATGACGAGTCCATTTTGCTGTGGATTGATCTCCACAGATAGTATGTCTAATTGCTTGATACGGGGGACTGATGTTAATCCCTATGAGCACATCCGAGGGGGCATCAACAGTCCTAAAAGTTGTTTCAGCATTGTCGGGGTCAACAAAACTTCCACACCTCTCATTTTAACATAATGAGAATGATCACCGATCTTCCAATTTGCATAAAATTCTCGCATGATGTTGACATTGCACTCAGAAGAATCTTGAAAGATGAAATTCATGTGCAACTCAAGCATAAGACACCTAATGTTTGGAAAGTCCATCTCCCAATGCTCATCCTCAATAACCATATCGGAGAAGTATTTGGCTTTCGTGTGGGACATGTATCACTTCCTGCCCTCTGGGATAACTGCCTTGGCCCCAAACAGCTGAGTTTGTCCCCTTGGGAATGATGGTGCCGGGGGAATCGTGGTACCAGTCCTAACCCTCTTGCGGCTGCTAGACGCCACCGCCTTGCCTGACCTTTGTAAACTCGACATGGTAACCTACAAACACATATACTACATATTAATCATGGTAACCAACACTCATGCTTGAGCATGGTTTTAGAATTATAAGGTTCTCAGACTTCCCCAGCTGTTTATAGCCTACAAACCCCAACATTTTTTCTATTAAACCATCTAAACCCAAACCCTTGTGGTTTTACTCAAGAATTCAAACCATAAGTTAATAAACTAATTTAAGCACTTCCATCAACCCCCACACCTGCAAGTATGAAGTTAAAACATCACAATTGCAAACCCACAAGATTCAAAAGTGTATGATCACATCTTTTAAGATAAGTACTCTACGTTTCGACACATGCGATAACATATTTGAGTTCAAAATATTCAGACATTTAACCTAGTAAGCCCCTTCTAAAAAAGTAAGTATTCAAAACCATCCCAATCACAAACCACAACCAAAAACATCATGAATCTCCTTTAATTTCGTCACAAACTAAGTAAAAGAGAGCTAACATACCTTGAGTAGGAAAAAGGACAAAGAATTGATGAATTTTTGAAGGAAATCTTCAATCTACATGACAAGGAATTGATTGATGGAAGGGAAAGGGTTTCTTTAGAGAAAATAATCATAAGATTTGGGGAGAAACTAAGTAAATCCGTCAATTTTTAGGGATTAAAAGGGGATGGAGATTAGGTTTTGTCCATTTAGTCGGGTAAAACCCAACTTTTTCATTAACCAGTTCTAAAAATGTACAAGGTCCGCGACGCGGAGTTGTCGCGGATATGCAGTCGTGCACTCCCCTTTAACTGCTCTAGAGAAATTAATCTCTCAAAAAAAAGTTAGCAACACGGAGCTGGCGGACTTGCCTTAGGATTTTCATTTTTAAAACCTGGCCATCTTCACTTGGGGAGCCATGTTCTTGACGCTCTTAGGTAGCAGACTCTCCTGTT